TTTTACTAAGCAAATCAAGATTTATGCACGAAGTTTTCTATGCTTAGGTTATAAAAGCGTTCGAATGAGTAAACTGCGTATCAGCTTGACCTTTCCTGGCTCTGAAAAGGAAGGAAGTGCCGAAAAATCAGCTACTGTGAATGGGTTCATGAAGAAGAAAGCGAATTATGGATCGACGCCGAGGTAAGAGAAAGTCGGTCCTAGGATTAACTACATGAAGTCATAAGTGATATTAATGACAACACCTACTCGAGGATATTTTAAAACTTGATGGCGATCACGTAAGAAGAAGCCTAGTTTTTCACCGCATATGATGTGAAGCGAAACCAATTTTCACGTTTTATTGAACTTTTTCCCGTAGTTTTTTTCTATCTTACTTCTATTTTTTACATATAGACATCCTTCATGTCACTTTAGACATTCTTCCACACCTCTACGACGACCACTGTGTATGACGTGAAGAACTCAGTCTTGTTTTTAATAGTCTACATTGCGAAACATGCTTAATGCATTCAAGAAGTTGTTAGTATTTTTCTACCTTCACATTTCTAATGATAAAAATTATTAGTCAAGAGAATGAGAAAGAAAGAACAATTAACTACAGGTGAAAAATTGGATTTGGATTTCACTAGCCTTGAAAACTGTATGCAGGAACGAAACTGAACTCAAATTCTGACCGACTGCACCGTAAAGGGGGAACAAGAAAAGTGCTAAAAACGCTAAGCACAATGAGGAATAAGGAATCTCTTGTAAAACTCTTATAACGGTTTGAATAATGCGAATGGTGGGAAGAGGACGAAGGCGATCGCGAAGCAATATTACCTGACTCTTGGATCTGTAAAGACAGTCAGTTTTGGAATGGATGAAACGTGTGCATAGATAAAAAAGTTCAACACGTTCTTACAACTTAGTTACGGCCGATGTTCTAGGTTTGCTCGAGAAATAAGAGAAGAAAGAAAAACGGACACGTCAAGAAACAGCTGCTAGGAACTGCTAAAGGAACTAAGAAACTAAAAGATTTACCGGATTGGGATATCAGTGTAATGGATCCTAAGCCATTTCTACAAAGTGAGCCTATTTAAAGCCATTGGATCACATCCGTTTGGTCGGCAATGCAATACGAATGAGGTTATAGACTATTTTGTCCTTGAAATCAGTGAAAATTATAGAGAGTCATCCTAGGCTGTTTGGATGGAAATTGGTTTTGTAAAAATAATACATTTCACATAATAGGAACAAACACGGAATCGAGCTTTCATAATTGCACACTAAAGAAGGTTACACATAAAGGATCAGGGTGTGGCGGTAATGAGTCATCTTTGGACCGTGTTTTCACTGCACTAGTGGTGGTAACGGTTAAATAAGGTATGTGTATACCGATAATTGCTACATCAATGTCATGAGGGCAATGAAACTGCTCGAAAAACACACCCACCTAATCGGCACGTATATGGAGAAAGCACTTCCAAGAATGTTATCAAGCACAAACTGAAGAGAAGCTCATCGGACTTGAAGGTGTATAAGGGTGTTCAATTTAAAATATAACAATTACATTATTATGATATTCATAGTATATTATCCACTATAAACGACGATTTCAACGGAAAGAAACGAATGACAGATGTGCTGGGATCTGCACAATTCGTGAAGACGGACCGTCCAAGTATCCAAGTAGGTAAGTATGAAATTCACGACACATGACACGACTTCTTCATCATGTTGTCGCGGGCAACAGTGATTGGAAGCTACAATTCGAGATTTTTTTGGCACAAACGATGAGATGGTGTCCTGGTCTTCGTATATCACGGAGACTAACAAATGCTGCGTATGCTTTCTCCTCTCCATAACTCTGGCATAAAGGTCTTCTCTTGTCCATATTTTACGTACACATATTCCTTCTTCTAGCTTGTAACTCAAGTGCGCTCGGTAAATGCACCAAGGATTTATTGCTATAATACGCAGAAAATCTTGATAAGTCAAAACAAATTCCCGCTTGATTTCAAAAGATATAGTGTCTACTTCTTTAATTAGTCATAAATGGAAAGGATTCGAGAGGTAGGGTTGCTGTGCTGGTTGTTGCAAGGCACCAGAAGTATAAAATAGCTCAATATAGCATACGTAGCAAGCAATTAAACAACAGGTTCACCCGACGCAACAAATATTTGAATTAAAGCTAGCAGAAGCGTATACTGCAGATGCTGTAGATCAAAACGATTGGAATTTATGTAAAAATCTTAAGATGTAGACGCTTTGGAGAGTTACCAAGAGTTAACTGTGTATAAAGCGAAATAAACTACAGAAGGTCTGGACGGTAATAGCTAAACCTTTTTTGAACATGGCTGAGTTCAGAACCTGTAATGTTCAAAGGATAGCACGTTGTCGAAGCGCGATTACTGAGACGGTGTCCGAATCTCGACGTACAAGAACAGTAGAGCATTCTTAGTGCTCCTTACGTAAGTAACAGTCTCGAGGATGGAATCCATAAGAAATAAACTTGTTCTAAAGTCTTTTGCAAATTATGTCCTGAAAGGTGTCTTATAAAGACTCCACGTACACAATCTACACCAATGAAATTATCTATTCAGTAGAAGCAGCACAACAAAAACTATGCAACGGAAGAAATGACCGAAATGAACCCGTCGCGGTTAACCTCTCGCCAACACATACGAGTTTAAATCCAAACAAATCTCCCATTTTGTATCAAATAGAAAGACTGCACCTCAATCCTTGCCACCCGTTGGTTGTCATTTTCCGTTTTTACAAATATGTGCTTTCCATGTTCAAAAAGTCGCTCAGCCACGGTCTGCTCCAGATACCTGACATGACTGAACAGAACTTCGTCTGTTGAAGGATTTGTTCCAGTTGCCTAAACTTAACATCCAATGAACGCTTTTCATTCCCCAAAACAATCCTGTAGAATTATACATCTATGATTAAAAAAAAATTAGAAGACCGCGAAACACTGAACTCCATTCTCCGTACAACACCAAAATCAAACCACTAAAAAAGAACCTACAATGAAGTAGTCCTTCCAGTTGAACGACTCGGGTCTCGACAGGTTGAATACCTTATCGTATTCAAGTCGAGGCTAAAGAAATGCATTTTACTTAGTTACAAACACAAGAACTTCATGGTGTTTGGAATTCCTTCCATAAGAAACATAACATTTTAGACACTTCTAAGGTGAAAACCTAAGAAATCTTAAGATCTCTGAATAACGGCTAACAAACAAGGAAAAAACGAAGCCGAAATTTTAACGGAAACACAAACTCAATCACAATAATAAATAAGCCCCACCTATACTACTTGCTTTATTGAATTGTATCTAATGCAGACGAGCTACCTAGTGACTTTACACTCAAAAAAAAATCGAAAGTACACGCGAAAATGTTTAAAACACTATATTGTAACAAAAACAACTTATAAACAGTGGAACGAAATATGGCACTATAATTAGAAACAAAAATTTCTCAGCTCAATCTGAAGCCGATGGCTGTAACAAAAAGCTGATTCCACAGATGACTGCTCACAAAATACAAGCGCTTATTTCTCTCTTTCGATGCTTCTCTTCCAAGTAAACATAGATCGGTGTTTTAGAATGAACATCCATACTTACTTGGATAGCCGGATAGCCCATCTTCAATGGTTGTGAGGGTCTCAGCATAATTTCTACTTTTTCGGAATTTACCTGTTTAGCCATTCCGATCCCTTGGAGACCCGCGGTCAGCCCAGCCAAAGTGTGACCCAATTTGTCAGCAGCCTAGATAGTCGCCGCTCCTGCAGATCAGAGGGAGATTTGGTATCATGCGACTAGTTTGATACTAGGACGGTGATGGATCCTGGTATTGGTTTACTACCGGCTGGGTTTCCTGATGGAAACGCCGGACTTCTTCTGTGCTTGGGAGACCCTGCTGGAGGTATGAATCCCGCGCAGTGCATCGCAGCACGACACCCAGGAACACCTCCTAGACACGATGAGGCGCTAAACCGTTGGGAGATATACAAAACAATCCTTCCCAATAGTAAAAACTTTAGAACAAATATGCTAATTGCTCTAGTACTCGAAAAACTATCAGCAGTTCTATATTCTTTAAGATAATGACCAAACTTCATACAAATGTAACTTGGTGAACTGAAAACTACGTATTGTCTGAAACGTGAACACAAATTGACCACATACCGTAACTCTTGCCCAATTAGGCATTTTCCGCCGAGATGAGAAATAATTGTTGCTCGACTGAAAATTGCTACATTCGTTACAATAGCTATGGATCTACACTTTAGTATGTACATTTGGAGAAAACAGAAGAAGAGAGCAAGAACTAGCAGAGTATATCTGTAAATTTTTATTACAGTCGTATATTAACCGTCATCGTAATGCTTAAGGTACAAACTTTAGAGATAGAACTAATTATTCCTCATTTATCACAGGTTTCATCGTAGAGTGAAACACGCACGTACATGAAAATGCGTGTTTGCTTTGAGCTGCGGGTTATGAGAAAATCTAGAATAGGAAGAACGTCATTGATAATACAAAATCTCTAAGCACAGGTATCAGTGGGATTGCATTAGGGAGCTGTTGAAAACATATAGAGTCAACCAAGAGAGTGGATGACTTCACATCAGTTAAGCACAGTATTAACAACCCCACAATCGAAAACCTAGAACTGAGCACTACAGATGAAGAACAGATAGCTTAAGAGTCGAAGAAGCAAATCATTTCGTTAGCCAAAGCAAACAACCATGATCAATTTCAATTGTAGTTCTTAAATATTGCGCGATAAAAACAAATTTGAAAGATTATAATTACAAGACCGCATAAAAATTCCTTACCAGATAACCAATGGATAGAAGTACCTCGTGACTATGCAGATAATCGTAGTCAGGTGGGTGTGATGATGTGAACAATATTGGTTACAAAACCTGTACCCACAATTTAAAAGCATCGAGCTGTAGGGATACAGAGAGCTTCGGTAAACTTCAGAAGCTTAACAACTGATTTAGTGACTATATATCTCCTTAAGACGATCACAGTGGGGCATAGGCATTTGATTTGCTCGTCGAAGTAAATCTTGGTCACTCTGCCAACGAGCACGGTACAACAGCGTTTCACCTAAAGTGACAGACTAAATCCATAGACTTGTAAAAGCTCGGCAAGACTAGTAATCACTTAGAAGTCAGTGGATATAATCGGTTACGGTAATAAGCGACAGTGTCCTACACAGATTAAGATTACATTAACATGGAAACGATGGGATGATAAAAGGACAAAGCTTTCGGCGTTGATCAATCCCTGAGGTATGCGCCATGCATTCGACTTCATTAATCATCGTTGGAGGTGATTGAAGGCACAACTCACCTTTACAATGACTCGCAATAGCCTACCGATGTCTTGAGTCAGTACTGCTATCCTCCCAGACGTCTGGTACCAATTTCCGACCCGAATGAATGGAAGTTTTGATGAGCCAGGGGCGCAGAGATTGATCCCGTGTGTACTGCAGAGCGTCTTCCACTGCGCTACACGCGCCCCATGTAAAGAATAGCAACAAAAAAATTCTCACGCTGATTCTGCTCCTTGTAACAGTTCATCCTTAGTTGTTGAATATATTCGTCCTCAACTTGTGATTCGATCTAAAATACATAAATGTATATATCTGCAAAAGAGTACATTTGTATGTATACGTATTTACAAAGTATTACTGAATACTTCTAAAGTGATCACCAGAAACACATTTTTCAAACAAAAAAAAAAGAATTCACAACAATCCATAGAGACAAACTAAGGTCGAAATTGAAGTATACCAAAAAGAAAACTGCTTGCAAACAATCTAAGGAATAGACGATCCAGTAAGATTAACGAAATACTCGTATGAATACCACACCTGGCGAATTCTACCACGATATGCCTGTTCAAAATCGCTCCTTACGAAGTAAGGCACTTTTAAGCTGCTCTGTGTCAGTCGTTTAATAGGAAATTTGCTAAAAAGTTGATAAGTGTAAATACCAACAACATTACTACGAGAAGAGTTAAAATACAGTAAAAGAAAAAGACAGCTGGCATGCTCACGTCATCAGAGAATAAAATAAATGAAACGAACTTAGTATGATGCAGTGAATACGCTGGTTCACCAACCATCAGTTGAGCTAAAAGGCCCAGAACAAGAATAGCGATTAACGGCAAAAGTTGCAAAAGCGGAGTATACGGATTCTGAACAACAAACGAAGGTTAGAAACGTAGACCATAAAAAATCAAGAAGAACTCAAGAACTAACCGCATTTTGATTACGCGTGCTATGAGTGGCGCTATGGAATCCATGACGTGTTCTTCGTACCGATTCTGATGGAAAGCCTCCACCGAAGAACATATTAAATATCTCTTCAGGAGAGAATTCAGCTGGAAAACGCATTTTTTACAGAAAGCAATTTCCGTGAATTAAATCACGTAGAACAGAGGAAAAACAACACGCCAAATAACAAACCATCGAATCCATGTGCATAATCATATTCAAAGAAGTCTCCCCTTGTACCTCTGCTCACATTTCCTCCATCAATGCCATACGTATCGTATTGCTTTCGTTTTTCTTCATTTGATAATACTGCGTATGCATTACCCAAAGCTAAAGCAGGCCACATTCGACAGCGTATATTTATAATAACATTTATAATAATATACCTTTGAAGGCTTCCGTAGAATGCGGGGCTCGACATTTGTCTGGATGAAGTTGAAGAGCCATTCTTCTGTATTCCCTCTTAATTTCGGCATCAGATGCAGTTTTTGACACCTAAGAGATGTAGATACAAAATATGGCTACTAAAAACGCATAAATGGGAAAAATCAGACATTGAGAATCTCGTAGTAATCCTTGCAATGTCGAATACGCTCCACTAAATCGGATTGCTGAAAGAAGAACGGAATAAAAGTAAGTATATCAGGGAAACAAACAGCCAAATTTTGAAACTGAATATAATTAGATAAAAACTTAACAAAAGTTATAACACCTACTTCTTTGGTGTAGTCGACACCAAATTTCGGGGTACGCGATGATGACCGGGCTTTCTCTGGTCGCTGCTTCTCAGCACATCCAACATCCCCGTTTATTTTGCTATCGGAAGCTGAAAATGACATCAAGCATAAAGTCTTATCATAAGCAACGTACACATAAAAATCATCACTTATCAATAAGACCTGTTCTAGGAGCTTTCTGACGAAGCCTGCTCCGAAGATTGGATGACTCTTCATAGTGATCGTCGTGGGCGTAACTTCGATCCTCTGAATCCCGCGATGACGATTCACTGTTTACACCCATAGCGTCCGCTTTCTTCAACAGAACTGAAACATGGAGAATTCGTACGAAACAATCAGCTACCTCAAGTTTGAAATAAATTAAACGAACCTGTGAGTATATAACCATCGAGTATTGTAATGGTATTCATTGCAAGCAGTAGAAAAACATCAAAACATGAACTTTGAAAAGTAAACGCGAAGTTAGCTGCTACTGGTTCAAAATAAACTACATATAGAAAGGAAACCGTAACCAACTAAAAGTTTTCTTGTTTAGCATAGACAGCCGGATAAAGGATAAAGTAAAACACGATGTCAACAAAACTTAAGCAGGGAAACAAAATACTGCGCAACCCAAGCATTTTGCGGATGTGACCAAAAATCTTAAAACAGAATCAATGTCTGCTCCATAAAGTGAGGATAAAAAAATTTTACACTATGGCAAACGAAAATAGCCTCTAAATATCGTATCAACATTGCTCAATAATTTCAAGCTTCATAGAAATCACATGACTTTTAGAAAAAAGTAAATGCATGGATGTTTCTGAGAATAAGACTGTGCAGACCGAAAATGTGATCCCATGATCCGTACGAGGATGGCATTTTCGGTCTACTACTGCATTCATTTCCCGTATGAATACTACTGAGTCTGAATCTCTAGCAGCAGAATAGGGCTTAATAAATCCTGCAACATAATGTGCTAAGCATAAATTCACGTAGTCCTTCAAACATATACTTAAAATAAAAGCAGAATGGTCGGGACTGACGGAGTAATGCTTCTGTCCTTCTAGTTAATTACAGCTTTAAAATTCAGCTACCAATTACTTAGCACCAGAAGACTATAGAATTTCATTTGTACCTACTCCTATTATTTCCATACTCTATGAAATATGAGTAAAATCTGGTTGTCCCTTTCCAGATAATCACTACTTAATATAGCATTTTTATTGGTTCCCCCGGCCGACCATGGTTTCCCAAGCTAAGAATGGGTCCGGCACTTCCATCAAGAAGCCCACCTAAGAGTAAACCCCAAGACCGACTTTCTGTTAACCTCGGCATTAATTGATAATTCAATGTTTTTTTCGTCAATAAGCAGACACGAGGTTGTTAATATAGAATTTATTAGAATACAATAGCTGACGTTTCGGCGGTTTCGCCTTCTTCAGAGCCTGGAAAGGTCAAATTCAGATGTGATCTACTCAGCCAAACACTTTCATAACCCCAGCAGATAAAACTTGACAAATCGATTTGCATTCGCATAAGAAACAGCTTCATTCAAACACCTACCGTTTATTTGTTGTAGTTAAGTTAGTTGATGAATAACCACTGCACAGAGTAATACATGGACGATAACAGTGTCTGTGTCAGGTCATTGGATCAGCCTGAGGTATGGCGCTAGGTCACGCGTGATGACAAGACACTCCTCCTTGCGGTTCATTTTTGAATTTTTGGCATTGATCCAAAACGCTTCAAGAGTTTTAAGCCCTGATGTTTTCGATTCCTGCGTAAGGATAGTGACTCTTACCTCAAAATCTTCTCCGGAGAAAGTTCCGTCAGCGTGATAATGAGGCATTCCTCCTTGCGCTTCATTTTCGGATTCTTGAAATTAATCCAGAATGCCTCCAGAGTTCTGCGCGCTTGTGTTCTCGATTCTAGCGCGAGGATCGTAACCCCTAATTCAATATCTTCTCCATTATGTCTCTGCGCCCTATGCGTGTCTAGTGGAGTATTTGGTTTACGCTTGCCAACTAGGTGTTCTTCTATATGGATGCAGAGTGGTCTACCCGTTTCGCCAACGTATTCATGCCCGCACGCTTTACAAGAGATCAGATAGACTGTACCCGAACTCATGCAATCACCATCTCTACCATTTGGGCAAACTATGCAGTTTTTTGTTGTACATAGACGGTCGTACAGGCGGTTGCGAACTAGCTGGCGTCTTAGAGTGTCCGGTGGTATTTCTATCACTCTTACGAAATTCTCTAGACCGGCCCTTATTAAGCAGCGTTTTATAGCTGCACTTATTTCGTTTGAAATAAAGGGCAACAGAAACGGAGCCTTGTTTTCACTAGAATTATCGCTTTGGGGCGTGGGATTTCCTCGATGCCTATCCTGAGAAGCTACAGTTTCGTAACCATTTGAGATGGCTATTTGTCGCGCCAGTTTCGAGGATTCTTCCCTCTGCTCTCTACCTGTGCACACGCTGGCGGCGGTTCGAAACATATTTCTTATAAGCGCTCTTTTAGTGTGTGAGGGGTGAGAGGAGCGGTAGTGAACCACTATATTCTTACTGTTTGGCTTTCGATACCATTTTGTGTTGTAGCCGTTCTCGGATAGGTTAATTTGAAGGTTTAGAAATGGAAGCCAGTTTTCTTTCGGTTTCTCACGGGTGAATTTATGTACTCTGACTGTTCATTCAATAACTTGAAGCATTTGTCCATCTCCTCTTGTGTGGAGCAGATAAGAGTAAACCAACAGCAGGATCCACGACCGCTCTGGTATCAAACTAGTCGCATGGTGGCAAATCTCCCTGTGATCCGCCAGGGCGACGACGCCCTGCGGTGTTGACGACCTGGGGCAGAATTTTCGCTAGGCTGAACTCGGGACTCCGGAGAACAATGACTAAACCATGAAAACTCCGAAAAAGTGGAAATTACACTGAGGCCCGCACAACCAGTGAGGACGGACCATCCAAGTATCCAAGTAAGTTTTATTGATCACCACTACTATAATTAGAGCTTTTCTTACAATGGTAACCGTTTGCTGGACCGAGCTAAACAACATCAACCAAGAGAATAAAGACGTAAGCAGAGCTTGAAGTATTTAAGGGTTGAGGTACCATAAATGGACAGACTTCTTAAGACAATGTTGTTAAATGGTTCTTTAAAATAGCACATTTGCCAAGGAATGGTAATGACATTATGGTCACATTGGTGAATACCCCAAAAATTTGCCGCACATTTATACGAAAGAACCATTCAGGTGGCCTTGTTCCTATGACGTACGTTTACCTTCCTAAGAGACGTTTCCAGTTAATTCACTTTTCTTCTTCAATGAACAAACACGAGGTTGGTGGTATAGAATTTGAAAAATGACGCTGAATTCTTAATGAATGCCGAGGTTAATAGACAGTCGGTCTTGGGAAATGCTCAATCTACAGTTAGAGAAAAAATACATTTAAGCCATAATCAATGAGGGCATATTTAAGCTATAACTAAGCTGTAGCTAGAAAGCCCATGAAAACATCCAGTAGCCTTGGATAAGAGTTAATACAATTGATAATGATGAACAGCAATGCAATCGAACGTCTCGCTAATGGAATCTACATCTACTTGTAACCAAATTATGTTAGATCTGCAAAGAATACTGGGTATTTCTGCAAGATATCGTCCACATATTCGAGTTCATATTAAGATAAAGAGGTTGTCACAAATCTTAGACTCACAAAATAAACTTCCAATACGCTACTAACACTCAGTAGAAGCAATTGCGTTAAGTAGCAATAGAACTCACATTCGATGTCTTGACTAGGATCAAGTCGTTTTGCCTTCTCAAGCATGCGCTTGGCTTTTTCAGTATCCCCATTTCTGAGAGCTTCCCTAGCTCGATCCATGCATACCTACAAGAATCAGATGAAGACATTCGGACCTACTAACTATACCAGTGTAAGTAATCGAAATATTCATTTACATGTTCTTACGAACCTCCCTTGTTGATCTGACGCGAGTTTGGTAAAAGTTGTCGCTGTTTTCGTTGCCCGACAGTGAACGTTTCGGTGATTAGGACCACTCGCAACAACACAGCTCTGAGGAAGACGAAATCGCCGAAACGTCAGCCATCGAACAACAACACCACCACCACCACCACCAACAACAACAACAGCAACAACAACAACATCAACAACAACAACAACAACAACAACAACAGCAACAACAACAACAACAACAACAACAACAACAACAACAACGACGACGACGACGACGACGACGACGACGACAGCAACAACTTGTACCAACCTCGCATCAGCTCAACAAGTGCAGTTCGTAAGAACACGTAAGTAAATACATCTGTGTAACATACCAAGGATTCGGCACGATTTGCATCAGCTGTCATCGTTAAGTGAAAACAACGCTTTCAATGTTGTTCTACTACTCGCAACCGAGTTATCTACTACTTCCTATGTGTCGAACAAGGACAGCCTGTAAATACGGAAGGTAACCAGATTGCCTGTTGAACTGAAAAAAAGCAGAATTCGGGTAGACGCTAAAAGGCCAGATATGCCAAACGAGAAAAAAATCACTTCTTATACAACACGATTAGAACAAGTAGGGGTGTCAACCATTTGAATAAATGGCGGCCACTAGCAAAACATAACAATTTTTATAAACACATCCAAGGATAGTAAAAATGCCAAGGTTACCTTAAATTTGTTTAAGGTCTAAGGGTACGGTTTAAGAGAGGTTTAGGGTAAGGATTTAGAACCGATCAACAGCTCGGCTTGGTTTCACATTCTCAATACTCGCATCGCTTGGAATGCTTGGAACAACGAATTGAAGATGAATTCAGTCATTACAGCAACTTACATTCGTACTTAGTAAAGATATAACAAGTACAGTGCTATTCTTAGAGGCATCTTAGTAGCCGATTTGAAAGTTTATTTCCACCTCATTTTTACCTGACAACGATGGTCTAAGGAAGATAAAATCCGTCGAAAAGTCAGCCTTTCCATCAGGAAAAAATAAGGTAACACCTCGCATTTGGTGAGCAAGAACATAGGGAAATATTTGACCAATTCCAAGGTTAACAAAAAGTCGGTCGTGGGAATTGCTGCAAAAATAAGGTCCTGGAATCGATTTATTACACAATAAACAACCATTCCAGAGAAATACTCAGGAAAATGACCTTCACAACCAGGAAGCTCGAGCTCGCAGGTCAAGGATCGAAATGTAATGTAATCCAGAATCCCGGACGGCATGTAGTTCTCTGCGTAAGACGGTGTGTCGTCGGACGAAATCTCGACTATCGACAAAAGTGTCTGACTTCGTGATAGTTTCTGGATTCAAACGACATTTTTCAGCATGTCAAGCGTATATTTCGTCTTTAACTATTTGTAGCTTAGCTCGTAGACCCAACGAGTTTAGAAATCTTCTCAAATATGGTTTATTTCATGTTTCATGACGATGGTTTTTTCTTCTTCACTGATTTCTCGAAACTTTTCTAGGCAAAATGGAACAGAAGTCTAAGAGTGATCTGAATCTGACGGCGAGAAATCTCTTGTCGATCCAGCGTATCGATCCGTGTGCTGTTGCGATTCTTGACAAGGTGTGTGAGTGATTGGAGCTAGTTTCGAGAGAGAGAGAGAGAGAGAGAGAGAGAGAGAGAACGGCATCTGAATATGGAAATATTCTAGGCCACTCATGCTGCTAAGTATAATTTTGATGTAACGGCTAAGGCTTGGACGAGGACTTATATTGAAGGAGCCTTATTTATCATTCAAAGGGCTGACAAGCCCTATTTTAGGTACGTTGTTCGTATTCATACCACTTAGTGACACTTCCTTGGGTAAGGATGTTGCCAAGTTACCTTCAGATTTAGTCTCGGATACCTTAAGAAATCAGATAATTGGTGGTGATGGTTTTTTCTTTTGAATTTTTTTAGGGCTGAAAGCTACTTATCAATCACTTAATGTGGCTGCTTTCTGACTCATTAACTGTCTATCTGTCGTCAGTACTGCCGAATCAATACATGTCTTCTGCGTATGCGTAACTATATTACTGCGTAGGTGCTTGCATCTGTACGGACATTACTCTGCACCTCGATTTGGTGAAGTCTACGGCTGACTGAGTAGCACTACGAGTAGCCTCTACTTCTATTCCGCAAGTTAACAGTGATTTTGCCCAATTCTAGTAATAGACCCAGGCAAGCCATTCATGGGCATCTATCACCAGAAAAGTGAAATTAAAGCGAGTAATCCTTCTGATCTCGCGTAGTGCAGTAGTTAAAGGTGCCTTGCAATACACATGGGTTTGATTCCGCGTCCAGGGTTCACCAAACCCTCCATCATCCCGAGGTCGGGAATTTGGTTAGACCACCGCGAGTCATTGTAAAGGCCAGATATGCATTCAGTCACATGTTTAACGAAGTCGAATGCATGGCGCATCCCCTCAGGGATTGACCAACGCCGACAGCTTTATCCTTTTATTTTTTAAAATCGTTTTACTTGAAAACGCACCCGATGCAGCAACGTTGGCTGGGGTGAATATAGTGTAGCTTTTCAAATCCTTTGACTTTTTTAGGCTGCTTAAGTATTTTAGCTGGTCAGTAGTTTTAATGCACGTATGCTTGCATCGGGAACTTCCGTTGAGGTCATGATAGTACAAGCTAAGGAAATGATGTAAGACGTTACTGGGCTGACTGGAACGGGAAGAGTCACCCACTTTACTTCGTTGATTGTAATGGAGAAGTTTTTGTTGTAGTTAGAAGATACTACAATGATTCAAAACGTCGCTTCCAACCAAAATTCTTTTTTTCGTGAGAACTTCTTTGGGTGGTGTCATAAATGGCGTCTTCTTTGCTTCCATATTTGGCTTTTTTAGGGAGCGATGTCATTAAGATAGAGGTTCTATATGGTCCTCATAGCCACTATGTCCAGTACAGCATTACAGAGTTTGCGACTTCCACAGTAGTAAACCATTCCCACCTCTAAATCGTACGACGAAGAATAGACATCTCGTCCCCAGTTGTTATTTCATTTTGCGGTCTGATATTGGGGCTGTTCGGAAATCGGACCCGTTTAAGCAATGCTAGATATCTAAAGAGGGAACCCCACGCTGGTATTCGCCAGCAGATAGCCTTAGCTTTTCATGCGTTTTCTTTGAGAATTCATGGTTCGAAGTCAATAAAAAGCAATCTATTCCATGTCGTTACGGAAAAAGGTACACGACATCGGTGGTTCCCACCCAATCTGCTGACTTTTTGTCGTTTACAACTTCTTCAACCGATTCTAGCTTAACAGGATTAGCAGAACATTGAATAACAGATTACCATATGACTAAACAGGGTTTAGAAAAGAGCTGGGTACGTTAGACCTTACCCAAAAGGAAGCAAGACTCATGGAATTCTTTTTTTTCCTGTGAAAACTGTCGCGAGAGTACAGTAGTCGGTTTTATTTCGATTTTATTGACTTCAAAAAGGCCTTTGATTCGGTTAAGATAGTAGCGCTCATGAGAGCTCTGCTAAACCACAGCACTGCTGACCAATGGGGAAAGACTCTACTTAACAACTTTACAACTAAAACTTAAGCATTCTACAGAAATGCCATTATCATCGTGAAAGGAGGAGTTTCACAAATGAACGCTATAACGTAGTACGTAAGAAGGAGAGAACGACTTGTTTTGGAATGCTCCAAGAGCGAAATGGATATTCTTAGAGAGATCATACATGGGAACTCATCCACTGTTCCGATTCTGTAGTTCGTCCAACCTTAATGCAGACGTAGAAAATTTACACTGGACATATGTTATCAAACTACGGTCAGCACATCGAGGTAGTAGTATTGTTTTGCAAAAAGAAAATCTAAGGCCCGAACTGCGCCGAATCATTGGCGCTTCGCATAGACAGAGATTTCGGGAGATGAACTGAAGTCGTTTGCGACTGACTTCTATTGGATATGATGCGCACAGTGTGAACACATACTTGTTAGTGAAAAGCTTAAATAAGAAATGAATGTTCTAAAATTGCAATGCTACTGTTATTTTTTAAATAGAGCTTGTCCATTTTTAAGCTTGTATAAAGTACTTGTTCTAGTCTCATCATCGCTAACCGCCAATCATTGGACGACATGGTAGAACCGGTTAATCCCCTTACAAAGATGAACAGTGAAGGCCACTATTTGTTTTTCTGTAAACCCGACAGTAAGATAACTACTTATATCCGTTTTCTGACATCACTTTCCGGTGGATATTTGCGGAAACATGGTTTTTGGTTCAGATCAGATTTACGGATTATGGTTTTTCTCTGCTGAAGACTGCGCCCGTTTGTACAATCTACTCAAGAAGTTACAAGAAGATATAAAAGCTGGAAAGGTATGAGATTCCATTCTGTCACTCTAGTATTTGTTTGGAACTCTGTTTTATTTGCATCTAGGAAAATCCTCGGCTCTACACTTTTGACTACAAATCTCTTGAGCCTAATAACAACTCCATTTCTCATCAAGTGCGTTGTTAATATAAAACAAGTTGTTTAGATACCTACGCCACCTAAAAAAGATGAAATGAATTACTTGCCCGAATCAGTTGCACCACCAAGTGAGTCAAACCAGCTTCTCGAACTTTTGAAATCTACTCAGCCAACTTCATCCGCACAGGTGTGTAAGGATTTTGTATTTCTGAACTGTCCTTTTGAAATTAATGAAGACAACAGGATATGTATATTGTTGTTTGATTGCTTGGATGGCTCGTCCTCACTGGTTATGCAGGCCTCAGCATAATTTCCACTGTTTCATAGTTCTACTGGTTTATTCATTCTGGTTCTCTCGAGGTTAGCCACGCCAAGGTCTGCCCCAGGTTGTTACCACCATAGGCAGTTGCCGCCCATGTGGATTAGAGGGAGATTTGCCAGCATGCGACTAGTTTGGTACCAGGACGGTGACGGATTCTGGTATTGGTTTACTCTTAGCTGAGCTTTCTGATGGAAACGACAGAGTCCTCAGCTTGGGAGACCCTACTGAGGGGATGAATCCGTCTGCTGTACATCGCAGCCCGACATCCAAAAGCATCTCCTAGCCATGATGAGGCGGCAAACCGTTAGGAGGAGATAAACATATCTGTCTGATCTGACTTGTCAGTCGGATATGTATATATGAAGATAATCGCCAAAATGCGCTTAGATTTCTATCAAAATGTAGAGCTATGATTAAAACTCTATTTTTAATGCAGGTCGCTATTTCTCGGTATACAATCTTCTTCCACATTTACTCCCTTGTTTCTGGGAAATTAGGTGTTAGTAATCGCTAGTCTTGCCATTTTATGTGAACATTATATTGCATAGTTAGCACTGATTTTCAGTTGCGCACTTTTTATTCTAATTTTCTTCTTTATTAGAGTAATCACCGAGAGAATTTGACGCGTCCCACTTCTGCTACGTTAGAGAAGTCGGACAAGGAAAGATTTAAACAAAAGGAAGAGGAAGTTCGTGAAACAGCTGCTCCAGTGTCAGAAATGCCAGTCTTGCTTCAGAAGCTTATGATACAGGAGCAGCCGAAACTTATTTCAAAAGTCTGTCATGCTTGTTGAGTTCAAAACGAACTTCCTTTATGAACTTTTTTTTTGTTTAGGCAGCGTCGACCATGTTAACGTCAGAGGATCTTGAAAAAGATCTACTCCGTTCAGCGAAACCGAAGCACACTCAAGTGCAGGTTCGTTATTCATTTGTGTCTTAAGGTTTCTTTGTTCCTCCGTAAGTGTCTTGTCTATGAATTGAATGGGATTTATTTGGATAATATTATAACGCTTTATAACAACGTTATGGACATCAACTACAACCATAAGCATACTGAGGTATGAGCAAAATTTAGAACCTTAGTCGAGCTTCGAACCCGTGACTGCCGTTGTCAGGGGCTCATGTGCTATCCAGCACGTCAACATAGGCCCTTGCTTTGCCTTTTTCTTAGCTCCTTTTAAAGATTAGGCAGTAAGTAAAAGTTAAGACACTCTGATTTCGACTACAGCGTCAGCTCAACCGCTTTCAATACCGATTTATGCTTCACAGATCGTTCCCGTTGACGAATGATTGTTGAAAGCACCAGGATAAGCAAAAAAGTGGCTCAAAGGAAGGCAAAGCAAGGGTCTCTTAATTGGTATGGTGAGTAGCACTTGAGCTCTCAGTAAAGGTAACCAAGGGTTCGAAGTCCACCTAGGGTTGCAAGAATTTCTGATATGTCAGCATCATTGTGGTTGTATTTCGCACTGTACCCTACCATGAAAAAGGAAAAGGCGGTAAATAAAAGTAAAATATTGTTATGGACATGTTTTAGACTAACTGGACCCGCTATTTTTCCGTAGGTAGAACAGAAATAAAGGCGATATGAAAACCGTCAAGAACTGCGACGTTGAAGAAGCACCCTAGTGAGCGTCTATTTGTTTTAGATGGAAATAGAACAAAACGTGTTAAAACTAATTGTTTCGGATTTCAACGGATGTCTATACAAGGATAAATATCTTGTCATCAATCAAAGAGTGCCATAATAAATTTTTTATCTATTGCTTACTACCTGACTTGGCATTACATGTATCACTTTGCAGATCTCACCACTTTTTGCATTTAATTCGTTTTTACGTATCCACCATTCACGAAGACCTTCGAACTTTTCGCGTGTGGCTTCGGTTGCTTGCTTGAAGATGTTTCGTTTTTGGCTTGAAAATGGTTCAGTGCTGGTCGAGTCGATGCTCCCTGGAATCCTGAGGTATACCTGCTGGGGCGTTCCCGTGTGGATTTGAGGAAGTCCGCTTGTCGCAGACTAATTTAGTACCAATTTCCTTCTTGTCCCCGGAGTAATGAGAGGTTTAGTTGGCTTGGAGTAGCGCCGAACCTGTGCCTGAGTGGTTAGAGCCGTCAGCGTAATGAACGAGATCACCATCATCGCTACACTCGTTCCCTAGCATAATAGTATAATATGTATATATTGTATATATGATATCATAGTACCATATCTCCTACAATTATTCCGTCACTTTTTTATTTATTTCGGACACTTTTTTTATTGTGTTCGTCTTCGGTCTATTTGTTTTCTTCAGAGTAGTTCCTTCATTTCTCATAGTTTATATACCCTCTGTACTTTTTATGCCCAAAACCTCCATCTATGTTCTTTAATCCAGTTGCGATGCTATTAGCTATCGATTTTGAGTCTCGATCTAGAACATTTTCGGCACTTTTTATATACTTTATTCCAAACAATAACTATGACTCAACGAAGAAATTGGAAATGATGTAAAATCCAGTTACTAGTAACAACTTCAGATTTTTATGCTGAACACAAATGGCAATTCTTACTTCTATAATGTTGAGATATTTGCAAAACTCCGGACCACAGCTGTCTGCGGTGGGGATCGACTGCGCTATCGTTCTTTCGGGGGGTAACGCTTCACCACCACATCATGTGGGTCCTTCGTTTCGCCTGTCTCTCAGTTAGTTCTATCGATCACTTGCTATCAGTAATCATCCATCAACGGGATTGACAAATGGCAATTCTAGTTATTCTGTTTTTTGATATTATTTGAGGAGTTGAGAAGTTCACGGGCTCAATAGGAGAGACTTTTCTGTGTTGTTCTTTGAGTATATGTGACACAATATATTTGATCAATGCTAACGATAGCCGTCAAAATGGTTTCCTTGGTAACGTTTATTGATAACCTAGATGTTTCTTCAGTATTGGAAGGAACTCCGAGCCCTTGTTATTTATAGTTGTGCTGTAAAGCAAAATGTACGCGCACAGAATTATGGTGCGTACTGATTCAGAGATGAAAAATCAACGAAGTTGTTCTACAAGCCAAATTTTCGAAGATGTGGTGGGTGGATCGGGCACGTAATGCAAACGAACGACAACCGATGGAAAAGAGCCTTTAATAACTGGATTTCCCAGCATGTCAAACGCACAGCAAGAAGACCACTGACACGATGCTCAAACTTTTTAACGAAAAACCTACAGGAAAGGCATGATGGTCAAGAAGTCCATAAAGCGAGCAGAAGCTACTGAGTTGCTCTTGTACGCGACAGGGAGAAGTGCGGAGTTTATTGGGGCCCGCTCGATTCACTCGACGAACAACGGGACGACGGCTAACAGGTCATGTACGTGACTGTGATTTGTTGTGTGAAGCAAGGCATGTCTTTACTGGGAATTAGTGTGCGAGTGTCTTCTTGGTTTAGGGCTCTCTGTAGAGAAAGATTTATTCAATTAGTACGTGCAGGATTCACAAAGGGGGTTTTTCCGTTCCGGACACAGGAGCGACACGTCTCTTTCCACTAACTCAGCAATGTGATAGGTTGTCGATTGCCATAATTAGGTATTAAGTGGCCCAGCTAACGTCGTATTTTTATACTTCAGGGGGATTAACTTGCACAGCGATTATTTTTAAGCGCAATATTTTGAATATCACTGGAATGTCGTGGAATTTTCTTTTCCTTTGAACCACTGAGCCATCTTGTTCTAGCCGGAAGGTGTCCCTAGTTGTTCAACTTAAGGGCACAAGTACGGCATACCGGCAAATATATCCTCCTGTTTGTGTCTTGACTCTTGTTTGAAGACCAATTAATGGATAAACGATTATCTCTGTCGGCGTTCATCAATCCCTGAGTGTGCTATGTATTCAACTTCATTAAGCATCGTTATAGGTGATTGAGTGTATATCTATCCTTTAAAATGGGTCGCGGTGGCTCACCGATGTGTCGAGTCAGTGGACCTATTCTCCTTCACCTGTACAAGACGCACGAATTTGCCGACCCCGGAGGCATGGCGGCTTAGCGAGCGAGTGGCAGGATTGAACCCATGTGTATTGCACGGTACATCTATCCAGCTACTCGCCATAGACCTGTAAACTTGGATTAAAAATTTCCAGTAGGCGTCCGCCACGTTTTCCTTCTCGTTACCCCGCGATTAACGGCCGTAGTGGTAGTTTCATTCAAGCCTGGTAACGTATGCAATATTAATCCATACATATCGATCATTTCCAGTACGAAAACTGCAAGTTGACACAAACCACGAAAACGTCCTTCTCTTCTATAGCTGTTTATCTAGAAGCATGCTTACAACCTCTTATGGTTAACTCTTAGCTTTATCGTTAGTATTTCATTAAGATTTCTTGTCACGCCGACGACGATTTATGTTCCACTCGCGGCGTATTTTTTCTCACAATTGCCAAGGCGAGCTATTTTCCCCTGACCTTATGTTCACACTCCGGTTTGGTGTTGCGTATGCCGTTTGGTTCAGAAGGTATTATTGAACGACTTTGCGAATAGCGAATAAAATTTTCATGCATAGGGTCCGCTAGAAGTACCGTAAAGGCAAAAAGTGCACTCTGAGTCCTTTTAGGTTTGTCAATTGGTCGGCGATTTTTTCTTTGTAAGGCGTCTGTACTGTTCTCTTCCTATATAGTGCCTTCCTTCATGTGGCTTTACATGTTTTTTCAAAGCGATTGTTGGAATATGGTCTTCCTAATCAAAGAACTGTTTGTCCAAATTTGTTTTCTATCGCATCAGCAGTTTATCTTGAAAAAGAAAGAATCGAAGTGCTTGGAACCATTCAACACTACTGGTTTCACATCATGCCATTTCTATCTCCTGAGCCTGATTTTCCCCACAGTTTTTCATAATCATTGGCAAAGCGAATACTACTTACTTGGATACTTCGATGGTCCGTCTTCACTGGTTGTGTGGGCTGCAGCTTAATCTCCACTTTTTCGGCGAAATACTGGCTTAGACATTGTGGTTCCCTGTAGTGCCGAGGTTAGCCTAGCTAAAGTCCGCCGCAGTTCGTCACAGCCACAGGCAATCGCCACCCGTGTGGATCAGAAGGAGATGGTAGATCCTAGTATTGGTTTACGCTTAGCTGGGCTTGCTGATGGAGACACCGGAATCCTCCTCAGCTTAGGAGACCCTGCTGGGGGATGAATCCCTCCACTGTACATCGCAACTCGACACCCAGGAACATCTCCCAACCACGATGAGGCGGTAAACCGTTGAGGGGACCAAAGTGTTTTATTGATTTAAATATTCTAAGCATGCAACATATTCTTTTGTTCCATCGACCAAATTCACAGTACGCAGGCCTGGGGTTAATAATGCTGAGATCCGTAGAGGGTGGTAAATGTGATGTCGGGTCGTGCAATAAAGAAATTTCTTGTCAGTCATGTCGAACATAGATGTTATATTAGTCATAAACTTTGGGAAATCATTCTCTACGCTAAATGATTTCAAAGCACAAGCTTATTTATTTCGGAAAATTCGATTTTGTGACGGCTATTGAAGTGCGCTCCACAGGAATTGTTGTGAGTAATGAGGATATGCAAATTGAACACTAAAGTTCTTTCTGCAGGGATCCATTTTTGTCATGATAAGGTGGTAAAATATTTAAGGGATTCCTTCAGAGTGGGTTGGTGTTCACGTGGTGTGCGTTTTTTAATGTACCTCAACGCTGTTTGCCTTTAGAAATATTTATTAGGTCTTATTATCATAACCCTTCACTGATGTTTTAAGTTTTGCGCTCAAGAACATATGTTTTATTGTTCACAGTTCCAGTTGTGGTAATTTCTACAATTTACAAATGCTATATAAATTTTGCAATGTTTGCTTTTTATTTTCTGCCTTCTATAATTTTTTGGCAGGGTATTAGCGGAATACAACCACAATATTGCTGAGATGTTTGCAAGACTCCGGACTGCAGGTGTCTACGGTGGGGAACGAACGCGCAATTGTCCTTTCCGGGGAGTAACGTGTTCACCACCACACCATGCGGGTCCTTCGTTTCGCCTGTCTCTCAGCTACTTCTAAATTGTGATTGTAACTACAGCCTCAGCTGAACTGGGTTCGTTGCCGATTTGGGATCCCCAGTTCAATCCCACTGACGGGTGATTGCTGATGGCAGAGATCGATAGAAGTAGCTGAGAGACAGGCGAAACAAAGGACCTGCATATATAGTGGTGAACGCGTTACTCCCCGGAAAGGACAATAGCGCATTCTTTTCCCACTGCAGACACCTGCGGTACGGAGTTTTGCAAATATCTCAGTAATATTGCGGTTGCTATATAAAGTATGTAATCTTTGACTACGAGTTACAGTGCTTAACTATAGTCAAGAAGTTCCAAATAGAATTTTTAATTCCAATACAGCTGAAATTCTTTGCTTAAGAACTTCCACTTGCCCGAAGATCGACTCTTCTTGTAATAAATGTTGAAACATCTTTACAGTAGCGTTTCCTAAAACGGTTACAGCTAGTGCCAAACTGTTGAGACTCTTGGCAGGGTTGCAAGAAAAACGACTTGATCTCGTCCGATATCACCCGTTTTTGCGGCCCATTGGTGCCGCTCCTTTTAACGACCTGAGAGGTCACTGGTGTGAAAGCACTGGCGAATCGAATGTAACTTACAAATGTGTTCACTCGACAGGTATGAGTGGAAGAACAGCCTTGGGTTCATAACCATTTACTAGGAAAAGATCTTTCCAAAACATGGCGAAGCAGAAGTATACCTATAACTTGCCAGTTCTCCTAACATATGGACGAAAGACGGTCATCTAGTCGCTTTTGTCGGCGAACACTTTCCCATGGTTTTGCCGCTCAAACACCAGTGGTTTTGATGAATCGTAGAAAAAAGGTCACATCATTTATTGTGATCATCATGAAAATTTCCTCTTATTTTTCTACTGCAACACCATTATACCGCTTGGATGAAGTTATTTTGTCAATTGCTCTCACGTAAACGTTATGTGAATCCTTCGTTAGAGGTTCATTCTTGTTTTCCTAAAGCTTATAAGAAGGCTCATATTTTGTGGCAAGAACTTGTGCGCTAACAGTGGTTGTAGAGGCACCTTCTAACCAGCAATTTCTGCACAGGCGTCATATCTGCAGACTGGTCCAAATTTCAAGAAATCACAGGAGATCCCATATTGTCCTCCAAATCTCCAACTTTTTCAATGTCACCACGATGAGGAGTCGATCGAAACTGAAGCGGAAGCTTTATGTACCACCTAGGTGTATTTTGTGGAGTATTTTTTTTCAGGACTCACAGAACAGTGACTCTGGTTTCTCTGTTGAGAACTGTAGGAAATCTCTCCTCAGCGAGATTGCCATCTTGCAATCACTGATTGGTCTATACTTTCAGGGTATTCATATCCGAAAGCAGTCATGTCTTTTAGTAAGCATATCTCAGGTTATGGTGAACATTTACAATTAGAATGAAAGCAGTATGTATACCAAAGTCTTCTATAAGGTTCAAATTTACTTTGCCTACCAGGATGTTCTAGAATCTCCTTGAAATTTTGGATTTTGAAATGAAGATAGCGCCTTATAATAGCCATTACATCCCGTCGGAGTGGTAGATCAGTCTCTTTGACAAGTAATTTTTCGATTCCTCAATTTTTCAAGTTTTCTAGTTATCGGGAGTTATCGCAGAACCAATATCCATTATGTGTGGCGTATGAGATTCAATTTGTTGGGTGTAGTTATTGTATGGAATGGGCAGATTTAGAATCTACTGAAGTGGACATAATACAAATTGTAAAACATTTCTGAATGCTGTTAGCAGTGTGGTAGTTGAATAGTTAAGCATAGCATCACTTAGTAATAATTAACACAGACCTCTAGATCGATAAAGCAAACACTCTTCTGTAAATCTGTCATGTTCTTAACCTTTTAAGTCCTCCAGATATGGAAAAATTACTCTGCTGTCGGAAAACAAGCACTGTTCATTTTGTGCTTTGTTTTAATCGCTAAAGTTGTACGAACTGTGTAGCCGGTATGAAACTAAGCGTCATCTCACGCTGGTGTTGAAAGCCTTTTTCTTATTCTTGGAGTCGCTAAGTAGTTTTCCTGTGGCGTCCTAAAGTACTTATCACATCCAGTTGCTGCACAGGACGAAGATTTAAGCCTAGAAACTCTGTCTACTCTGCAACAGCAGTGATTCCTGTAATTGGCTTGCTGCTTGCTGATGTTCCCCATGTCAATGTTAAATTTTTCTTTGAGTGTTCCTACTGGGTTGCTAACTTCCATACCATGTTATACATTGAGATTCAACACCGACGACAAACACCGCTTGCTATGATGAGCTGTTGTGGAAGATGTTGTATACAAAGAATTAAAGCTTTCGGCGTTGATCAATCCCTGGTCGATGCCCCGAACATTCGACTTTATCAGGCATCGCTAGAGGTGATCGAATCCATATTTGGCCTATAAAATGACTCGCGGTGCTCTGTCGATATATCAAATCAGTGCTGCTATGCTCCCAGACAACTCTTGCAACAATTTTCCGATACTGGAAGAATGGAAGGTTTCATGAGCTATTGGCGTGGGATCAAACCGACAGTCACGGGCGTACAGTAGTACAGGCGTACAAGGTACTTCTAACCACTGCGCTATACGCAGCCCGCATGTTATATATGCGATTGAAAATACGAAGCGGATTAAGTGCCGTAAGTGTTCTTTAACTATATATTGCTATGTGAAAAATTGCATCGTAGAAGTCCAAAATGTCGACTTCAGTTTGAAGCATTTCAGGATATGTTGACATCCACTTCAGCCGCTTCTTTAGCGGCACTGTCAAATCGTTCTGTTCATGGAAGTGATGGTGAAGCTGATCCGAATGATGTTAGTTTTTTTCTAAATCTTTTGCCTCGTGTAGGTCTTGTTGCCTTTTTATTTACTGTTAGTTAAGGATTTTATTGTTTCCGAAACTACCCACGCAGCTTCAGATTCACTCAATGTTGTATTCAATACTCAGAATTATCTGCAAAGTCTAAGATTTACACCAAATATCCCATACATTTCAAATCAACATAGATGCGGTAGTGGGAGATTGAAGGTTTATAGCCTGCCACCCTCTTATTTATCGATATCTTGATCTCTATTGATCGAATAAGAGGTCTACTTAGAAGTAAGTCGGCTATCTCGACCGACCTTAATAAATAACAGCAACTGGTAATACATAGCGCCTGAAATTGGTTTTTTTTTTTAAAGTTGACGGTGTTTTCATGATCGCAGAACATTTGAGGAGTTGGAAAATACAACATGTGGTTAACTGTAGCGCACTGGTTAGTGATTCAGTCCATTAAAGATGATGGTTCCAAACTTTACCCCACGCTTTTCACCAGCCCACATGGGATCTCTATAGCTCGACTATCTCAAAGACTGCAATGAGAATAGCCTCCACCAGCATTCTACAGTATTCATGAAGACGAAATCCTCAAGCAACAACCCAAGCAACACGCAGAAAGTTCAAGGACTTTCATGGTAGGTGGATTCAAGGGAATGAATCGAATACAATAGGTGTTGGGATCCTCACAGTAGATGAGATGATGGTTCACTTGAAACAAAATTTAAAAGGGAAGTATTGTGATCCATATTCATTTTTAATGAACAGTCTCCTTGAATAGTTGATTTTGTAAATTCATTTGCAGGACTGTGGAACATTAATTTAGAATGCTGCAGAGAATAGATATAGTAGGATATTGATCCTAGCTTCTTAGATTTTACATTTTGTCGTAGAAATTTTATTTCTGATGCATGCATTGTTAGCGCCTCACCATTTTCTGTTGAAGGTTGACTCGACAGTGAGCAGTCGTGTTGTTGCGGATGATTCGATTTTCACTGTCGGATCTGGATCTACTACTCCTCCTCTCAACAAATTGCAGGTGTATTTTGTCATAATAGTTTTTTTTCATTTTCCAATAACAATTTTGAATGATCCATGCTACCTTGGACGTTATTGGCGGTTCAGACTTCTAAATAAATTTTGTGATATCCTAGTTCGCTTCTGCTCTGATACATCTTATGCAAACAGACGACCACTTTCTGACACAAATCCACCAAGCTTATGTTGATGCTATCAACAGAAGGCTGAATAGAAACTGAATAAGTCGCTCCATTATTCATGAAAACGGTTGTGACTTCTTATCAAGAACGATGTAACAAAATTTCGTTACACTCAGAGGCGCTTCATTACCTCTTATTTTCAGAATTTCTGTTGACGAAAGCAAGATTTAGGTTAGTAATATCATTTTCACTTTCACCTCTAACCTCATGTTTTCATATTCGTGTTCCATTATTTTGTTTCTGAACGAATACTCATTTTTTACCGGTGTCTTCTTTACGGTTTACTAATGTTTAAAATTTTGCAATTTTGTAGTCCTACTTTAATGCCTTTGTGTTTTACATAAATGGTATGTTGAATTATATAGGCCAGGGTTTCTGTCACATCCATTCAGTTGCTTCGTTGGAATGTCGTACATATTTTTGAGTAACATTGTTGTTATGTTGTAAAGTATGTATTTACCAGGAATGCCTTTTTTGTTGTGATCGGAATCCAGGATATCTTCGTCGGATTTGTTATCGAATTAAGCAGTACGGAGGTCCTATGACTGAATTTATTCGTTTGGATGTCTTTATTGAGAAATCCAATTCATTTGATTATTCTGAAGAAATGTGGAAACAAACACATTCTTCCACAGTCTAAAACCTGTGTTCGACAAGCCGTCGATTGACTGCAATGCAAAGGGTGTTCACGAGGTGTTATGTGATCAAAAAGTAACGTATCTACATGAAAATATTGAAAGTGAAGAAGTTTCGGTCAACTCTGTGCAGTAACTAGTTGTTACAACACAATAAAAGCTTCACTTATTTCACTGCTATGGTCATTTCGGCGTGGATGGGCGATCGGTCGGGGTGTCATTGGAGCGCACTTGAGATGCGCATTGAAATCAATGCGAAGTGTCTTGATAGAGGTGTACGCGCTCCTCAACTGACTCATTCGGCATCTTCTTTCTTAGTGCTTTTGAAGACTTCAATACTTTTCTTTGCAGTAGGTTTCTGAACACTGCAAGAAAAGTGTGAGAATAGAAGTTAGGAGCAACATAAGCAATGGATAGTACTGCTGACTCAACGCTTGGTCTAAATTTTCTCAACAATAGACTTGAATTCAGTGGTAGACTTGCTTCCTCCCATTTCATATCGAACTATCGTCAGTTAGTCTATGAAAATGGCTTGCAATAATTGTTCTTATGGATTGGTTATTTTTAAGAATGCTTATATTTATCAAGATCGACTTTCCATTAACATCGGCATTGATCAAATCGATGACATTCAAGATGAAGTGAAAATCCTCAAGCAGCAGCCGGCGCCACACGCAAAGTTCGAAGATCTTTGTGTAGATGATAGATGCGAGGAAACGAATCGAATCTGTGAAATGCGAAGATCCGCATAGTAGATGTAGAAGGCGGACCGTATATTAAAAAAAGCTGTCATTTCGGCGGATTACCGCTTCTTCGGGCCTGGAAAGGTCAAGTTGACTGCAACGAGTCGGCCGAATGCTCTCGTGAGCTCAACAGAAGAGCGACGATACCTAGATTTCATTCGTACTAGAAACAAACAGCTTCTTCACGTATTCACCCTTTTCTATTCTTCCACAGAGTCTTTCACGTTGGGACTAAACGGAGTTCATATGGATGGGTTTTAAGCGCAGTAGTTTTAGATTCCTCTGTGGCGATGGTGACTTATACTTCAAAATCTCCTTTATGTTTTTGTGCCCTATGCGTCCTAGTGGAGTTTTTGTTTGACTTTAAGTGAGATAGTCTTTTATACGGACGCAGAGCGGTCTACTCGTTTCGCCAGCATATTCGTTCCCCATAAGCTTTAGAAGAAATCAGGTACATCGCACGCGAAATCACGCAATCACCGTCTCCACCATTAGGGCATATTATGCAACTTTTTGTTCTGCAAAAACGGTCGCACAAGTGGTTACGATCTGGCTGGAAACATAGAGTGTTCTTCGGTATTTCATTCACTGCTACCGATTTTTCTAGATTGGCCTTTTTAAGCAATGTTTTATAGTTGCTCTCGTAAACTTGTCGAACGACACTGCTATGTAACCCGTCGTCGAACGTAGGCATACGAAAGAGCAATGAACAAGAAAAAGAATGACTTGTTGGTTTAGCATCTCATGGCTCTGTTGAAAGGATATCTAAACTGCTCAATTCTTGATCATCCGGGAAATATTTCGTACGATTTATCTTAATATCTTAATTTCTGTACATCTTAATAATACGACCTGTATTATTATTGGGCAGGTTCCAGTCCTATTTCCATTCGACTGTTTGTGTTGTATCTGTCACCCATTAATGCCTTCAGATCTTACTATGAGTTCGGCTGTCACTTAATAATTTCCTTTTCATGTTGGCGTTGGATGTTGGTTGACTTTACACATTATGGAATCGTAACGCATCTTTACTATAGTGAGCTAGGTCTGGCGCACAGTCAGTTGCTGGTCTCTATTACTCAAAACATACTCTTTACCGAGTAGTCTGCTAGCATTCTTCCAACCATGGATAGATTTAAAACTTGGTCGTCTCGATCCGGGAATGAGCTTGTCACCGTAGTAAGCATTGCATTGCATCTTTCACCACTGCATTTTTGCATTTGCATTCCATCTCTTCTTCTTTCTTTCTTTCTTTCTTTCTTTCTTCCTTCCTTCCTTCCACTTTCATCTTTCTTTCTTTCATTTTTCCTTCTTTCACCCATGCCCACACCTACGTATTACTTTCTTGGATACTTAGATAGTCTGTCCTCACGAGTTCTGCGGACGCCAGTACATTTGCCATTCATTTCTTTCCGTCACAATCGTCGTCCATGGTGGTAACTTCATTCGAGCATGGTAGTGCGTGCAAGTCTTATACCGTGATCTGTAGAACAACTGCAGCTGCGGATACAGCTGATTAACTTTACTTGCAAACATATCCGCCCAACGTGTAGGTGGTCGTCCTAGTGGACCTTTGCTTTCTTGTGGACTCCACTTTACAGTTCTTTTTGTCCATCTGTTGTCTGTTCTTCTCATTATATGACCGGCCTTTCTATGATTCGCTATGGATATTCTCCTGAATCTCGAAGATGTGACAGATTTCGAAGATCAGAGCTTCGCATTCCGGCTACATATTGATAGCGCCGGTTATATTTCAGAAGACATCGCTCAAGCGCTCTGTGAGTCGTTCGAGGCATTTTTGATGTAGTTGAAGTATCAGTTCACGTCTCTGCAGCATAACAGAGCGCTGTGAGGATCGTAGAATCAGACATGAGCGCGGATTTTTGGGTCGTTCAGTTGGTCGATGACTTCTTTGTGAGGCCCGAATGCGGTCCAAGCAACTCTCCTTCTTCTGTCTAGTTCCTCCTCCATGTTGTTTTCAATGTTCATTGATCGCCCAAGGTACACGTACGAGACGGTCTCTGCAATCAGAGACCCATCCAGTTCAATTTGTTCTCCTTCGCACCATGGGTTTTAACTGGGTATTCTTCCTTTTCTTTTAATCTTTTTTTCCGCTTCGTTGAAATCGTTAATCATCGTCTCTGCCTCGTTGGTACTCGTTGTGAAGATGATGGGCGTCGGCGGCGAAACGTAGGTTTGATAGGCACTGCAGTCCGGTACTAAACAGCTTTGGCGATATTGTCTCGCCCTGTTGAACCCCTTTTCCTATGGGTATGGTAAGAGGTCTATGGAGAAGCTGTATTTTTGTAGTGCAGTTCCGATAACAATCAAACAGAGTTCTTATCTGGGACGGGTTTACTCCTTCGTCAATGAACGCGGATAGGATTGCATTCGTTTCGTCACTGTCAAACGCTTTTTCGTAGTCGACAAAGTTTAGGACTAGAGGCAAGTAGTATACCCGACAAACTTCGATGACCCTGAACACAGTTTTAATGTGGTCCATGCAGCAAAATCGTTCACGTGAGCTTGCCTGCTCCACTAGTTGCGCCTCATCCAATGTCCTTGAGAGATGCACAAGAGGATAATCTTCGTGAAGAGCTCGTAGAGGACGCTCAACAAGCGTATCGGACGATGGTTACGAAGATCCCTTCAGCAAGGCACCTATGTATTGGCTGAATAATACCTACGAAGATGTCTTGTGGTCGAGTAGGGTTAGCTTGTAAGGATTTCACCGATCAAGTTTTGCAATATTGTAAGGAATTTAAGAAAGAATTCCAGAAAACAGCATAAAATCTGGCAAGAGCAAAGAATTGAACTGATTGTTCATTACAGCGGAAATTAAAAGAAACATACAACAACAGCAAAAAATGTACAAAAATCGGTTTCTATATTCAATATGAACGAAAACGAAAATCATGCGACATTCGTACGATGTCTACATGGAGGATTCCTGTTGAGCTTCATTGTCTTTGTTGTCTTTCTCATCTTGACTTTTGTTATCGTAGTCAACAATAATCATGTACAATACACTGAATATACCCGCTGCATAGACTAACACTATCCATAGAGCTATCAAACTGAAAACGCAAAATTAGGACTGATGAATGAGGTTTCGATTGAAACTGAACAAGAAACAGTGCAAAAAGGTTATCTGGAGCGAAAGTGTACTGTTATCGGGCCGGAACTGGATCACCGTACCACTCAATTTATCGGATCTTTCATTTATTAAATGAACAAAAACCTGATACAACGTACCTCGTCATTACATAGAATAGAATCTTATGATGTTGTGCATATATCAAATAAATCAGTGAGAATAGTGCTAGGAATGAGACAATAAAGAATATTTCTGTCGATGTGAGCGGTGGATTTTGATATGAATGCGAATCATCTGCAAAGTATGAAGTCCAAGATTTTCCGACTGATTTCATCCACACTTAAAGAGTTCAATGTATCAGGCGTTAGGTGCGATCGACCTGTTAAGGATGCGCTATGCATTAGGCTGTATTAAGCATCGTAGGGACAACTGAATGTCTATCTAACGTTTACAATTGCTTGTAGGATATTGCTGATGTTTCAGGTATCAATGTATCTACCCTTCCATACGAGTCTGGTCCCGAATTGCTGTCCTCGGGGAGGACAATTTAGTTAACGCAGTGATGGTTCGTGGTCGAAACAACGACAACCTATTGCGCAGCACTTCTAACCACTGCGCCACATGCGCACTTTCTAAATAGATAGTTGTGGTATTAGTTTCCAGGTCAACAAACTCCATTAAAAATGGAAGTGGTGTTCTAGGCCATGCAAGTGAATACATTGGTGAAACCTAATTTCCCATTCACTTCTTTTTCTTTAGTCATCGCCTCTATGCAATATAATGAGTTTCAGTGTTTGATCAGTTAAAATAGTACTTATTTCATCAAATATTCTAAAACGTATTCCGCATTATATTTAAATCCATTTCTTCTACTCGACGACAACAAAGTATTCTTCGATGAAGACTGGTGGGTTACATGCCAGATGTCTTGTTGATCGTGAATCGTCTATCATCTAACGAGCTCCAGCGGTCTCCATTTGGCTCTATTGCATACCACTAAAATTGTCCAATGTGTTCTGCTGACCTGACGGAAAATAAGAGTATCCTTTTCGTTCAAACGATATCGAATTAGCAGTTTTCCTATTTCGCCCTTTACGTTCCGTCGAATTCAGCCAACGACATCTCTTGTAGAGCGGTTGTCAATGACACGAGTTTTGCCGCGTCATCTGGCCTAGGGCATCCTGAATGCAGCGTAAATGATATTTAGTCGGCGCAGATTGCAAGGATATCTACCACTTATTAGACTTTCCTCGTCGCATTCTGTTGGACGAAATCCTGCTTATTCACTCCCTTCGTCGTACAAAATACACTACGATTACGGTCATTAAGAGGTTAAATTAAGAGATTAAAAGGATAAAGCTTAAGACAGGATTCATGGGTTCAATAAACCTAGCACATCACCGTGAAGAACAGGTGAATTTGTGCTTTTGTTTCGACCAATAAAATCCACTATCAGGTGAGCTTGGTGTATTTAAAGTTGGAAAGTGAAAATATTTTCGGCCACTGCGATCCATACATAATCATGTGGTCGGTAGTTAGTTAAACACGCTTTACATCTACTTGGTGGACTAGTTGAGTAGCGTGAGTGTACTGCGCCCTCACTCACCGCAAATTAGGATCTGTCCAAGAGCAGCTTCTACGCTTAACCGAATAGTCGATCTACAACGACACGGCAAGCAGAGGTCTATCTATCTCATCATACAAAAATATGTTGAAAAAAAGTTGGAGAGACGAAATAGACGGAAACACATTGAGGAGATGCTAAGAACAAAAATAGACAGACTTTCCGGTGAAAAACACGCAGTAATCGATTAGACATCTATGGAGAACTTACTTTGCGAACCTTCATTGTCAATATCACTTGAGTTACTGCTGTCGGACGTCACGTTCACAACTGTCATTAATATGAAAGCGACTGTAACACTGTATTCACCAGCACTGAAGCCCTCCTTGCATATTTTCTCTTATGAGTTCTGAAATCAGGTAACGTGTAAAGCCGTAATGATAAGCGACCGTCACGACGACATGAAATCATAACGGTGATATAAATAGATGTAAGTGGAAATGAGGATGCTCATCATGATAACGCTCCGTTCATACAAGAAGATATAAAAGGTTCCTTGTGCTTACATAACTACATCACAGACGAGAGCACCCAGTGTACGGTGTACTGAGGCTGGTCTATTGCTGATTGTGCAACTTTGTCCTCACTGGAGTCCTGACGTAACCTTGTAAGGGCACATCCAGGTCTTCACCACGATGTAGATCAGAGGTAGGGGTGTTTTCGGCGACGAATCCTTCGCTCGGTCTTCCTACTAGTTGATTCGGAGAGATGTTAAAACCGAAATCAGAAACGAAAGTAGGTATGTAAAAGTAACCGACCGCTCAAGGACGATGTAGAAGCCGAAACATAAATGCCAGTTGCAGAGGAGTTCTGCAGGAAGGTCTACAACGGTACAAGCAGAAGAAAATACTGAAAGCAGCAGGGAAAAGAAGCAGTCTGAAAAAATGCCGTCGGGACCTGTGCGATTATAATTTTCCTCTGTCAGCCCTGATGAACGAAGACGGGATCGGCAAAACTTACCGCATGGTATGGAATTAATAGCGGGAACGTTCTACACCAACATTTTTCGTTCCAAAACCGTCGCGAGCCCTAACTTCCTCGCTGGAGAAAGACCACGGAATTCTTTCGTCGGAGCTTCGAGTTGCGATAGAAAGCATAAGAGGCACATCTCCAGGACACGATAATATCACTGCCGATTTCCATAGAGCTGGCAGCCACAATTTACATGTGCTTCTTGCAAACCATTTGACAGCCTAGGTCCAAAAGGAAAAAATCCCAGACCAATGGAGAAAGTCGCGCTCAGCCATCCTGCCCAGGATAGGAGAGCGAAGGGATCTTCGTAACTATCGTCCCATATGCTTGTTAAGTGTACTCTATAAGCTCTTCACGAAGATTACCCTCTCGCGCATAACAAAGACATTGGATGAGGCGCAACCAGTCGAGCAAGCAGGATTTCGAAAAGGATTTTGCTGCATGGACAACATCCAAACCGCTTCCAGGGTCATCGAAGTTTGTCGGGAATATCACTTGCTTCTAGTCCTAACCTTTGTCGACTATGAGAAAGCGTTTGACAGTGTAGAAACGAATGCAATTCTATCAGCGCTCGTCGACCAAGTAGTGGACCCGTCCTACATAAAGACTCTGTCCGACTGTTATCGGAACTGCACTACGAAAATACAGCTTCTCTATCGACCTCTTACAATACCCATAGGAAAAGGGGTTCGACAGGACGACACAGTGTCGCCAAAACTGTTCAGTCCCGTACTGCAGTGGACAGTGAAGTCACTCGACTGGGATGAGGAAGGCATATGTATTGATGGAAAATTCCTAGCAAACCTTCGTTTTGCCGATGATTTGTCATCTTTTGAAGAAGTACTGGCGAAGCAGAGAAGATGATCAACGAGTTCAACGAAGCGGGCAAAAAGATCGGACTTCATGTAAAACGAAAGAAGACCCAGTTTATGAAAACACTATGGTGCGAAAGCTAAAAAATTGAATTGGCTGGCTCTTTCATCGCAGAGACCACCTCATACGTTTACCTTGGGTGATCAGTGAACATGGAAAGCAACATGAAAGAGGAACTATATAGAAGAAGGAGAGCAGCTAGGGCCGCATTCGGGCCTTTCAAAGAAGCCACCGACCAACTGAAGGACCCGAGAATCCGCGCTCATCTCTTCGATTCTACGGTTTTCCCAGCGCTCTGTTATGCTGGAGAGACGTGGGTTGATACTTCAACTATGTCAAGAATGTTTTGAACTGCTCACAGAGCGCTTGAGCGATGTCTTCTGAAATATAACCGGCACTCAATATGTAGCCGGAATGCGAAGCTCTGACCTTCGAAATCTGTCACATTTTCGAGATCCGGAAGAATATACATCGACAGCGAAACATAGATGGGCCGGTCACATAATGAGAAGAAAAGATGACGGATGGACGAAGAGAACAATAGAATGAACTCCAAGAGAACTCAAGCGTCCCCTTGGACGACCACCTACACTTTGGGCGGAAGTGCTCGTAAATAAAGTTAATCAGCTGTACCCGCAGCTGCAGTTGTTTTCCAGATCACGGTATGAGATTCGCAAACGCCACCATGTTTGAACAAGACCACCACCATGGGCTACGATTTCGAGCTAAAGGAACCAAATGGCATACGTGGTGGGGTCCGCACAGCTCGTGAAGACGGACCGTCCAAGTATCCAAGTATATAACTACGAAGTTCGCTCTCTATGAAATATTCCTATATGTCTTCTTCTTGCTCAATTTGTGCTTCTTGATAGCTCTTCAAAAGAAAAGATAAAAGCAGAGGAATCAGAAATGAATTCCTGAATGAAAGCTCAGCAGTAAATGCAGCGAAACACATTTTGTCTAAATCGTGTTCAATCAATTCATACTGACCAGAAAAAGTCATGCTGTAAGAATTAAATTGGGAAGTGAGGTAAAGAGAAAACTTCGGACTCCTGGTACTGGTCCTCGCATGGTGTGGTGGTGAACATGTTACCCGCAGAAAAGCGTAGTAGTGGGTTCGATCCCCACCACAGACACCAGCGGTACGCAGTTTTGCAAACATCTCAGCATCATTATCTCATACAATACCTTGCCATTAAAAATGGTAAGCAGTAAATAAAAAATGACGACAATGTGATTTATACCACAGCATCAGCTAACTGGTTCAATGTTGATTTGTGCTCCCCAGAGCAATCTCGTTGACAGGTGATTGCTGATGGCACTTATAGGGCAACAACGCGGCTGAGAGAAAGGCAAAGCGAAAGACTCTCATGGTGGGGTGGGCATTTTAGCTCCCGGAAAGCGTAGTATCGGGTTCGATCCTCAACGCAGACACCAGCGGTACGCAGTTTTGTAAATATCTCAGCACCATTATGTTTAAGATTTGTACTACATATTAATACTTTATGTGACCTAAATTTACGGAAACGTCAGATCTATGTGCTGGGATATATATTTGACAGCATAAAAAGGCTTCAAAGATGGGTTTTTGCTGAGGAATTATCATATTACCATATTTTCATCATATCAAATACATATTTAAGTTTACTAGATGAAATCTAATCGTTCTAAAATTTAATAAATAGACATCAATAGTATACAGTTAGAATATGAAAAGTTAAAGGTGTATAATTTACATACTAGGGAGCTTGAAACTTCACGAAGGTCTGTCATGTGAGAGTTAGCCACTGTTCAGTTGCTATGGCTAAATGCGAACCAATACTGACTATATACGCCCACTGAGCCACAGGAAGATCAAGGGAATA